GAGGGCATTTGGTCTAGTGGTATGATTCTCGCTTTGGGTGCGAGAGGTCCCGAGTTCGATTCTCGGAATGCCCCTTTTTGTTTTCTCTCTACGTACGCAATTTTTTATATTCTCGAAATTACCCCTTATCCTTGTTTTTTTTCCTATCTTCATCTTCTTCTCTTCACCAGTCACACAAAATCAAATCCTTAAGAGGAAGAAAGCTAAAGAGTGAAAATGGCAGCGACGACTCTATCCATCGCAACCACAATCCGTTCCTCTTCCTATCCCACTCTCGGTTCTGCCCATGGCTTCCCTTCCCGACCCGTCGCAATCGAATTCCCGTCTCGACTTGGTTCTGCTTCATCTTCCACATTGACCCACCGTGCAACCCACCTCCGTCCTATCGCCGCCGTCGAAGCTCCGGAGAAAATCGAGAAGATCGGATCTGACATCTCTTCACTTACCCTCGAAGAAGCCCGCGTCCTCGTCGATTACCTTCAGGACAAGTTCGGTGTCTCACCGCTCTCTTTGGCTCCTGCTGCAGCGGCTGTCGCAGCTCCGGCCGACGGTGGTGCGGCGGCTGTGGTGGAGGAACAGACCGAATTCGATGTTATCATCAACGAAGTCCCCAGCAATGCTCGTATTGCAGTGATTAAAGCGGTCAGAAATTTGACTAGCTTGGCCTTGAAGGAGGCTAAAGAGCTCATCGAAGGGTTGCCGAAGAAGTTTAAGGAAGGTGCGTCCAAGGACGAAGCTGAAGAGGCCAAGAAACAGCTCGAAGCAGCTGGTGCTAAGGTTTCCATTGCTTAAGTTTCCAAAATTCGGAGGTTTTAAAAATGTGTTTTTTACGAAATTTATGGGTCTTTTTTTTTGTTTTGTTAGTATAGATTGCGTATGGAATTGTTGATTCAGCTTTGAGAAATTGTTGTAATTTGAATCAATTTGGTTTCCCATTAGCCAATTGATGCGTGTTTCGTTAGCTGCACATAATGTGTTTGTTGAAATGCCTAGCTCAAAACAAGAAACACACAACACAACCAAAAATGGTTCAGGTTTTTGGAGAAAAGTCTAAGCTTGATTAATTTTATAAACTTTATCAATATTTAAACCGAAAATCCAAACGCTAAAATCGGATCTGGAAATGAATAAAGAGAGGTAGACAAACAAAATGTTAGATTTTTTTGTTGTTGTTGTAGATGTAAGAAAACAAAATTTTCTTTTTAAACTAATAACGTACGACATAAAGCTAAAAGGATACGAACATTGAAACATATCAAAAGAGAAAAGATAAGCAAATCAAAGTATTAATCACAAACCCCTCAAAAATTTACCCTTTTTCTCGTTCTTATACTTTCTCGAGGGAGAACAAAACTTTGCGCCGCAGGGAAACGAGGAAGAAGGTGTTTCGAGATTCGCTGCTCCATATCGAAAGTTCCCG